AGCTGTGTGCAGGTTATGCTAAACCTAATGGTGGATGTGAGGCTTGTTGCAGACTGCTGTTAGCTGACTCTTCCTCTCTCACTACCTGGTGTGGGCCTAAGTCTCAGATGCTGTGGCCTTCCCAGTCACCAGGTCTCAGCCCAGTTGCACAGCTATGGAAGATGTTGGAGCAGCGTGTTAGACAGCGTCTCCACCACCATCATCAAAACACCACATATATGTATATTGTAAACCTGGTACAACATGCAACATTCAAACTGCGACACAGCAGACACTGGGCATAGACACATGCACTGTCCTCCGTTCTTCTACATAGCAGCAGGAACCACAAAAAATGACAGACACTGTCTTTTTGTGTCTTTCAGGGACATTTAGTAGGTGACCCAGAACTCTCAGGTGCTGCTGTTGTTTCCAAAACAGCAGGTGAACTTCAGTGTTTCCTTCACTCCGCAGATGAAGATGGAGAAATGCTGTCTGACTCCTGCCCAGAGCCTCCTGCAGAACATCCACACGGACCCTTCTCTGCACAGATATGATACTGCCAAAGAAATCCTGAGGTGCACGTTATTTTATCTTAAAGCAGAGCTGCTGTTCTGATTTATATGTTTGTTTTGCAGCTGCAATCTTCATACACTTATGAGGTCATATCAGTGGATTATTGTCTTACCTACAGTAAATAACAGAGAGAACATCATGACCGCACAACATGTTAAAATAGTTTAACACAACACCTCAAATAAACTGCAGCTCTGCACAGTAGTTCTAGTAGAAGCCGACGTACAGGTACAGCCCTGGTTTGTGATTTGGAGGGTGTGTTTAAACTGCTTTCTCAAAATGTGTGTCGCTAAGCTGCAGGAAACCACAGTGATGGTGGCTGCTGTGATGCTGTGATGCTGTGGGCGATGAAAGCAAACAAATTCAATTGTGTTAAACGCACCAAGAGTCAGTGAGATGCTCCATTGTCTTAGAAAGGATGGTGACAGAAATAGAAAGAAATGAATGTTGGTGTTGTTTTACCTGCTCTCCTTCCTGACAGACGGACTCCACAATTCCAGCTTCTCGATTCATGTGTGAGTGTGAATTTGAGCGTGTGAATGGGGAAAGTTATTTGGTTGCACTGGTGGTTGACTCTTTTCTGACACCTAGATGGCAAATGCACAGATCTGCTGGTTCAGACAGTAACAAATCTATTATCTGTCGTATTAGCAAGCAGTAATGTAAGGAACATTTCAGCAGGCAGCTTCTCATTTGTATTCAGTGCAGAGCGTCAGATCGGCTGCTACTAATCAGTGTTAATTCTGTGAGTAAAGTGATGGCAGGCCAGAAGAAAACGTTGCTGTTGATGGGTTAAAGCGCTCTGTGCAAGCTGCTGTCTGCACTCTGCCAGAGATTGTTTATGGGGTGCACTGCAAGTGTCTTCATGGTCCCACAAACTCAACAGAGTGACACATCTCCTCTGTGGTTGAGCTGTAGTGTCTTAATGAGCCAGATTCAGATTTAATCAAAGAAGAAAAAGGAGAGGACAAGCCTGTATCTGGACTCATCGTCCACTTTGCGTCCCGGTCAGGCTGGTGTGTGGCAGGCTCCCTCCTCCACCAGGTGAATCACCAGGTTTGGTATGAGACTGGTGAACATGCTGTGATTCTTCTTGCTCACCAACATTTTAAATTTCGAACTGTGGTCAAACAAAATAGAGATGGGCGCAGCGCACGTAAAGCCTCCACTGCACTGCAGTAATTACTGGTCTCTCCAGTCCACAGTCTAGGATATCATCTTCCAAGTGGTGTTTAGTCACTGCTTTTATGGAACTGTCATGATTCAGTGTGCGTCATCAAACACGCTCACGATCAGCCCATGTAGCGGTTGTTTAGACATGGATGCGGTCAGCCATATTTGTTTACCCCAAAGCCTTTTTATTTATTTTATTTGTGACATCATCATCATCTTTAACTGGAGCAAAGACAGAGAGGGAGTGAGATGATCAGAAATATCATTCCTCTAGTTTCTGCTCTGGCGTAGACCTTGGCTGCTGTCTCTTTGCAGCCCTGTGTCTCTTTGTGCCTCCTTTGTTTCCTTTCCTTCCTCATCTTTTATTGTATGTATTGCTCATTTGATATCTTTATTGACGGTGGAGACATCACTGGAAAAGGCATCACAAACTTAATGAATAAACTTCATGTTACTCTTCACACAGGAAGTCTGGAACTGTCTAATTGTATTTGTCTCCATTTACACCGTTCAGTTAAATTCAGACAAATGAAGAGGCAACAAAGATCTCGAGCCATTTTATTTAAGTCTGCCTTTTTTGAATTTGTGACTTATTTTGTAGCACTTTATTCTATGCGTCCAATGTTTATGAAATTTCCTGGTAAAAATCCAAATTAGTGCTGCAATTATAGGAGAAACGAAGCAGAGTTCATTTTGTAAATTTCCAATTATTTCAGTTAACTGCTAATGCTTCTGAGTAAGTCTTTGGAAAATGTGTTTACAGACATGCAATCATTCTGAACATTCGCTTGGATGAAAGCTGAACCTTTCCTTCAATAACTATGAAAGTGTCTTTCCAAGAAATGTTATTTATTAGGCTACTTTTACTTAAGAAATCGAGTACTGTACTTCTTCCACCACTGAATATGAACACAGTAACCTATGTGTTCTCATTTTGTAACCAGATGAAGTCGACCTCTCGCACTGGACAGGAAAGTGTGCATCCTTAGCAATCAGGAAACACTGTCGTGAAACCTTGACAGCAAAGCTCTTCAGACTTTAACATTTTAACCTAGAGATGTTTCTCTGAGGGCAGCATAGTGATTCAGTGGTTAGTGCTGTCACCTCACAGCAAGAAGGTTCTGGGTTTGAGCCCCAGCCAACCTGGTGCCTTTCTGTGCATGATCTCCCTGTGCCTGTGTGGGTTCTCTCCAGGTGCTCCAGCCTCCTCCCACAGTCCAAAGACATGAAGCTGATGTTGACTAAATTGTGCTTAGGAGTGAGTGTGAGTGTGTGTGGTTGTTTGTCTACATGTCAGCCCTGTGATAGACTGGTGACCTGTCCAGGGTGGACCCCACCTCCTGCCGATCGTCAGTTGGCTCCAGCCCCCCTGCAACCCTGTTCGGGAATAAGCAGTATAAATAATGGATGGATGGATGGATGGAAGGGTTTCTGGTCATTTTCACCCAAACCACGCTGTCTCCCAAACACTTCCCGTTCTTGCATAATTGTTACCAAACAGCACTGTAACATGATAAAACAGATTCATTTGTCTGCAGTTTGTAATAGTTTATTAGACGGTTTATTTGTCCTGCTCATAGTGGAGCAGGACAACATACATCACTCTGAAAGGAAATTACAGTCAGCATATTTAGTCTCTTAATTTGAGGGATTGTTGGTACTGCTAATATACATCAGCTGCTTTGATGGAGCCCTTCACATTTTTATCATGCAACCACAAATCATAAACTGTTTTTTTCTTTTGGTGAAAATAACCTTCATGGCTGTAGGCTGTAGAAGCATGTTTCCATCTTCCTCTCTCCCTACGACCTGTTTAAACCACAGTGTGTGTAGGCCTGCTGATGGGGAAAGCCCTTCTTTAGAGGCCGCTGTGTGACATTCAGATGACTTATTACAGCACTGATGCAGCGTGTGTTTCACCGGCTGATGACGCCACCGACGGCACCTTCAAGGGGCAGCACCTTCACCTTCTGCACTATCCTCCTTGAAAGCGTTTATATATGTGATAGAGGAAGACAGATGATTGCATCTCTCTTTCATCTTCTCTTTTCTCCCCTCTCATCATCACTCTTTTCCCCAGCGTTCTGACTGTGTCCTCACACCACGCACGTCATCAACAGCTTATCAAAGCAACAATAAACCGCCCACATTACAGGCCATTAGCATTGTTGGGATTCTCGTAGAGGGTCCCGATGGACTTGCTCAGCTCATGTGGTGTTGGTACGAACACAGGGCCTGTGCGGCTGAACAAAGATGCAGACAAAACCAGTACTGATGATGGAAATATGTCCAGTGATTCAGTGTGGGGCACACAGAGCAAGTCCTGATTGTGAATCCATTATAATTAAACCCAGAGGTGCTACAGATGTGTTTTTATACTCTGAAGCTACATTTATGAGGTCATAACTGTTGTGTCATGTGTAGGCCTCATTTTGTAAAAGCAACCAGCCCAAACAACCATTTTCATTTGGTATTTGTAAAGTGTCAAATCCTAGCAGCATCTGACTAGTTTGCCTCTCTGCTTTAACTATAATGCACGTTGGACAAATGCACAGAAGTATTTTATCATTTGCTGTTGAAATCATGTCCTTTGGTTAAATGCAAAAACTTTATGCAATTTTTTTGTGTGCATGAGCTGCATTATTATGTAACATGACCACTGAAACCTTCCAAAGATGAGTTCACATTCTTTTTCATGTGTTTACACTGACAGATCTGTTGGTGGCCGGGATTCTTCCTCCTGTCCAGAGTCAAATCTTCCACAGTTACTCAGCATACAGTATGTGCAACATTTGATTTTTTGTGTTTTCCAGGGAACCAATTCACAAAAGCGGCACGTGACTACTTGCAGATCACAGTTAACTTCAGCCTCCTGTTTAGCAAATGATTGTCTTGCCCAGAGTGCACATTAGTGAGTTGGGGCCTTAGCATCCTTATGCATCAGTCGCAGGTCAGAGTTTGTTTGAAAAAGAAAACTGAAGGTGAAATGTTTTATGTTGCAAACTTCAGTTAAGGACAGTAACATGAAAAGGCTGTAACTCTGTTTGGCTCAGATGAAACGTAGGACTAAACCTACATCACTGATTCATTTTACTATTAACTGATTAATAGCTTGGCTTACAAAATTTCTAAAAATCAAAAAATATATTTAATAAAATTGTATTATAAATAATATCTTTTTTTTTTTTTTATAATCAGAATTGTTTTGTAATTCCACTAATCAATGAACTCATTAGTAATAATTAATTACATTTTTGTAGCATCAGTTAAAAAACATTTTTGGACTGTGGTATTTGTTTCACTGGCGTTACATTAGAAAGGCGTCACTGTCTAAGCCACAACAACACTCGTCATGTGCGGCAGCGTCGCCTGCTGAGCTGTGGAGCCTCACCTGGGCCGCTGCGGTACAGCTGCTGAACACACTGTCATTCCCTTCATGTGCTGTCATGCTCTTGTTGAGTTTTTTGAAAGGCTCAGCTTCTCTGTATATATATTTATAAAGTCAGTTGACCTGTGTTTGTGTCTTTTGTTTTCACAGTGTGTGCAGTGTGTGTGTGGACTCCCCTGAGAGAGGCAGCCATCAGAAACAATCAGAGATGCAACAAATTGACGGTTTAACAGTGCGTGTTGAAGTAAATACAATGTTTCCTTTGAATGCTTAGGAGATGTAGAAGTTGCTTTGGGATCCATGGACTGAGTCAGGTGTGTGCACACAGGTATGGACACAGCATGTCTTTCTAAAGCACTGTTGGTTTGCATGTGTTTTACAATAATCCCAGGCGTGTGTGTGTTGGCTGCAGGGCAGACAGTGCTGTCCTGTTAATAAGGAGCCAGTCTGACAGACAACTTTGTGGTGAGGTATTAGAATATTCCTGGCATGTCTTGCTCGGAGTTAACTTGTGGGACACAGAGGCAACACAGAATCAATTCAGATTTTGCAGATTCCAGATTCTGCTTAAAATTTGGTCTCTCCCTTCAAATGTGATATTCAGTGTGGCAAACGACAGCACGAGTCACTCGGTAGCCTTTTCTTTTTATTGAATTGTCAGGGTCAGGCATTTGAGACACAGAATAGATGAATACTTACAGTTTTGAGAACCGGGTGGTTGCATAACAGCTGCTTATATTGCTAGCCTGAAACCCAGCAGACAATGTAGCTGTAGAATTGAACCACACAGAAATCTACATTGTATGCCAGGTTCAGGACAAAGCAAAGGTACCTCATCTCTTCTCAAACACACATCAATTAACGCTTTCATTCTGGCAAAAATAATTTTCACATCACAGTTTTACTTAAATAGCTCTAACCAAGGACGTTTAATACAAAGACGCCATCACCGAGCGCGTAGGAGACAGCTAGTGAGCCAGAGTCAGGCAGAATTAAATGAAGAATGGTGGAAGAGGAAGGAGTGAAAACACACACACACACACAAAGCCTCAACAAGGGCCCCTTGTGGAGTTGTGACACAGAGAACATCCTGTGTGTGGGGTCACAGGATGGAGCCCCCCTGACATCGCAGCCAATCAGAGGAAAGGAATGTGCCACCAGCCAATGGGAGAGGAATGGGCATGGTTGACCAGGAAGTAGGCAGAGCCGTCAGAGACCCAGTAGCCAGATGTAGCTGCTGATTGCTACACAGGATCTACACTGCCTACTGAGCAACTGACAGCAGCCAGAGAACTGTGAACCGCTTCAGTTCCCTGGGCGGGAAGACTCCACACATGTGCAGACACAGCTGAGTCCATCTGAAGAAACAGAGGAGGAAACAGTCACATTAGAGACATGTACAGAGGTCAGAGAGGCACAAAGAAATGATGACAAGGAGAGGGTGTCAGTGGTGAAGATGGAAGGGAAGGGTGTGGTGTAGTGAGCCGACAGAAATCAAGCAGGAGAAGAAGAGGAGCCTGATGGAGGGGGAAGGATGTGGGAGATTATCTGCTGATGAACATCTCCAAGCAAGTCATTATCAGTTGCAGATTCCTGTCATTCTTTACCCTTAGCCCTGAGGCACAGCAGGCGGCGGCCACCACCGTGCTGGCTCTGGCACATTATGGGAGCATGGACCCAGTCTTTATAAATTACAACCCAGATACAGGTGAGGGGCGGAGAAGGGAGGAGGCGGAACTCGCTCCCCTCTCCTCCTCTGGGGTCACAAGTTGAGCTCTGCATACCTGAGGTCTCATGACCATATTGATTGACCATCCTCTGTGCAGCTGATGGTCACTTGCCTCCAGCGTTTTCAATAAGGGAAATGCTGGTGATTTTCTCTCCTCACATTCCAGCTCTGTCCATCTGTGTTCATCTCACTTTTCTTTGTCCCTACACTGCAGTTGTGTCTTACAGCGATAACAAAGACCTACAGCTCTGAGATGCCTTACTTGTCTTTATTTCCCACAGCGCCTGTGACAGCTCAACGCTACCTGTGAACCTAAGGTTATTGTGTGTGCTCTCCCTACTGAAGCTTTCCACCAGGGGCTCAAAGAGATGCAGAGACATGTGGCCTTGGGCTCTGTTCTTTGCAGGGTGAATACAGTTTCCAGGAAGAGGGCGGTGGGAGAGGGGAAAGAGGTGAAGATAATATTTGTTGCTGCAAAAAATATATGAATGACTTCCTTACGTTTCCTGGGAGCAGCTTTGGGAACACGTGGTTGTTTGACTTCATTTCTGCAGGATTCAGACAACCTGAAAAATATAGATGAAATACTCAAGGTCAGACAATCTATTCACCAGTAACAGGAATCACAAGTACAATATACAGGGTGCGCTTTGCAAAAAAATAAGGACAGCTGTATGTTAAAGCTGTCAGCTACACTACAAGAACAAGTGTGATGTTAACAGGTTCAGGCCAGTGAGCCTGAATAAGCTCACAGGGCCAAAGATAAGGTGATAAGGTCTTCTATGTCTTATCTCTGTCTTTTTTCCATGCTTTGGTGATGCTGCCATCGCCGCTAGGCAGAGAGGTCTGACGTATGTAAACCAGTTGCCTTCTTTTCCACTGAAAGTGAAGCTTTGGTTTGTGAGGCACAGTGCGCTACAGGACAAGATCAGAGGCTGAGCCAACACAGGAAGTGAAACTCTCTCACAGCTTAATCCTATAACCAGAGTTTTCATTGAAGTGACACCAGCTCACATTGTCTTTCCGTAAATATGCATCTCACAGCAGATGAATGTAGTGTCTGAGGAGCAACGTGTTTAAAAATGAACGATTTCAGCCACTACAAGTGGCTGTGTTCACCAGTGGGATCATACTCTCAACTACTAAGGTTGGTGCAGGAACTGGTTCCAGTAAAAATCACTGAAAGTGGCCACAGTGGAATCACGTTTGCCTGTAGTTTCCTCAGGTGAACATTTGAGCCAGCAGTGACAAAGATTAACTGGAGCATTTGCACTGGGAGAAAAGGGGGAAAAAACACTAAAACAGATGAATGGATGGTTCGACCAGGAGTTTGAGTGAATGGTGCATTAGACTAGAGGGAGAGGGAGGTGGGTGTGGGAGGGGGTGAGCACCAGGAGGCCTGAGGAGGGGTGAGGCCAGGCGTGCCATTCCATTCCTGCCTGCACTGGGCCAGTCTATTCCTAGAGTATGGCAGTTGATGTGGGTTTCCTCTTAGCTGCCTAGAAGATGACTGGGCCTGACCACATCCTCATTGACACACACACACATTCACAAAGTGACAACTGTGCACACATATACAGCAAATATATACTGGCTGGTACATGCACACACATTTTGAGAGAGGCAAAGAGGAACTGAATCATTTCCCTGCCTTAGCCCCAAAGTAAGGGGGTGACCACTGTAGAAGTGTGTGTGTGTGTGTGCGTTTGTGCTAAAACGAGTTGCACTTCTGCAGTAAACGACATCGGTTCATTGGTTGTGTGCATGTGCTGTTCAGTGCTCAAGTATGTGTGGGCATGTGTGTGTGGGTGGGTGAGTAGGATGTGTGAGCTGGGTGTGGATGCATTCCCTCTCTCTCTGTGCGTGAGTGTGTGTGTGTGTGTGTGTGTGTGTGTACAGTATGTGCTTCGCTCCATCTATAAAGTCCCTCACTGTTCCAGCTCAGCACTTATCGTCCACAGTTATTCTTCCAAAACACATTCTGGAACCGTGTCAGCGTTTATTTTTGAATAACACGAACTGGATACAGAATCAATCAGCAAGAAAATTGGATTGTAAAAATG